TTATTTAAATTTTAATGCTTGTTCTGTTAATGGATCCACTTCAAAAAATACTGTATGTTCATTGCTTGCTTCATATAATATCCACAGACCTCTCACCTTTTTCATATCGTTTTAACACATCTAGTTTCTCGGCTAAGCTTATACACTTACTATTACCTTTTGAACCAACACTACCATCACTTGCTCTCTTGCTCATGTTGAATAGGGATGCAAAAATGCTGTAAGAAACCTGAGAAAGTTTTTCTCCTGTTCCTGTTCCAGTTGCCTGAAAACAAAAGGCCCGCCAAGCTCCGACTGTTGTTTACCACTCATTAGCAAGGCAGCTTCTTTGCGCAAGGCGCTCTTAATTTTTTTTTAACAGTAATTTTTTTTTATAATACATATCGGGATTTAGTTAATATTTATATGAAAATGTATTTTTATTTTATTTTTATTATATTTGGTCGTAAATACGAATGAAATAAGGACGTAAATTGAATTGGGTCCTAAATTAGCTAGGGTTTTAAATATGAAAATTTGTTGGTCGGTCCGTTGTTATCGGAGGCTTTACTGTATAAACATCCCTTAGTTTGCACCAGACACAATAATTCTAGTAATTAACTTAGTACATTTGAGTACAGGTTGTGATAATTTATGTGGTTGCAGTTTCACAGCCTTGTGACATCATTAGTGTATAATGAGTCTCCATATGCCCTGGTTTATTCATTGATCAGTTGTCTAAGTGCAAAAGTTAGAAGACAATGGTTCAGTAGTGCTATTAATGTGTGTGCTGTGTAAGTGTCTTGGCATGTCACCTCACCACCTGACTCCTGAACAAACTCTTCATCAACTTCTTCAAATCCTGCAATGTGCTTGGCAAGCTCAAAACACACACACACACATGCACAGGCACACAGACACAGAGAGAGAGAGAGAGAGAGAGAGAGAGAGGAATTAAGACAACAAGCATCCAGTGAGGATCTTGTTGTGTGACTGCATGGAGGCAAATTAAAAGATCAGCTGTTGAGGAGGTTATCACTTGGCAACACTGGTGCATGTTACCACTCCTTTCCACCCCATCCCTCTAATCACCCACGCCTTTCTCACTCCATATTTTAAAATGTTATGTAATGTAATGTTGAAGGGATACAACTTTGCTCATTTATATTTATACTTATCACAATCTCCCTAAAAATATTTAGGTTTTGTGATTAATCAAGAAATCTTCAGGTCATGAGACCCACTAATCCCCCACCCTACCTCCACCCGACATTGAGTCAGGTCAGGTCAGGTCCCCCCCAAAAAATACTTTAACTTTCATCTTTATTCAAGACATTTTCAGAAAATTCTCTCGATTTTCAACCTCGGAAAATTTGATCCTAAAGCTGGAAACTTTTGGAAAATTCCGGCTTTAGGAATGATTTTACAAACAAATTTCAATTCCGGCTATCGGAGATTTCCGGGTTTGAGGGATTCCGGCTAACGGAGATATTACTTATACATAAGTGCCGCACCGTTTACTGTTAATGTAGCTTTTCCCCTCCATCACCTGGGTCACCTACCATTCCCCAGAGTTACCTACCATGCCTGTGTTACCTACCATGCTTCTCACCTACTACAATGCTTCATTCTTTGCCTGCACTGTTAGTAAGTCTTACTTTTTGACATTTAGCAATTACATGTACACATACTATATATGGGTTATTGTATTTTGTAGGGGAGGGGGGTGCCTTGATAAGTTGAAATTTGGGATAACTCAGCAAGGCCAGAGCCCCATATGTGTAGAGTTATCGAGGGTTTACTGTACATTTACTTGTACTGTAATTCTGTAAAAGTAAAATAAAACAAAACATTTACGAGTAGCCTATACAGTGTACATACTGGGTGGCCCATGTAATGGAACCAGTACATCTTTCACTGGGAATTATTTATTGATTTTAAGAATTGTCAAGGTGACAGTAAAAAAAATCTTGCTCAATTAACCTTCTAGGATTTTATTTTGGTATTCTAGCTAATGCCAGACAATTCTATTCAGCTGAGGAAAAACTCTCGGAACTTTAGCGGTCAAGAAAAATGATGCAGCCAACTTTTTCCTCTTTGATTATGTTTTAAATGTAAGGTATTATTATCCAATACACACTACACCTAAATGTGGTGGTACTCTAACAGACTGCTTTAAGAAGCTTAGCTCATATTACTGGGTTCTGTCATATTTACCCTAGGATTTTCCCATCACTTTTAATAGACATGCTTTGTTCATTATAGGTGAGCAAACTTATTAATAGGAGAAATTTAATCAACTAACAGTACAGGCGAACTGATCTCTCACTGGGAGGTTCTGATAACATCTGGACTAGCTGGACAGGAGCTGGACATATGGGTGTCGTCCATCCACTAGGGACCCCACTATAGTTGACAACAAATATTTGCCGTCAAATTTCTTACATTTTTCAACCTGTTTGGCTCTCGGGACATAATGACAAACCAGATGGGACGAGGGCTTAAAATTAGGGCAGTTCCAGTCAAACTTGGATGTATGATAAGCCTACATGTGGTGATCTTGCAGTGATGTTCTAAATTTACTTTATTTTTTCATGATTTGTATTAGAGACCATCATTTAATTTGCATTACAGTCGGCCCTTAACATTCGCGGGGGTTAGGTAACAGAGATACCCGTGAATGTTAAAAATCCGTGTACTATTGCTGCCCCCCCCCCTAAAAAATCCCTGGCCCCCCATGTCCTTATTTACCGTATATACCTGTGTGTAGTTCGAGTTTTTAAGACCAAATTATTTTGCAAAAATTGGGGGTCGACCTCTAAACGGGTAATAGTTTCGTTAGGTTGAAAAATATTTACCAGTAACTACCAGTAAACAATGGAAACGATGCACCAACACACCACCAGCTGTGAGTGTCGGTACAGTTGCCAGGGCAGATCTCTTGCGAGCCCAAAGTAGCCAAATCCATGGTATGGTATCACAGGACGATGTAAAATAAAGTATTCATTTATTAAAGTTAATTTATAGATACTGGACATAAATTTTTGTTCATTACATTTGAAACATCAATCTTTGTTAATTAAATTTGAAACGAGAAAACTACGATACTGGATTTTCATTAAAATATTACATCACAAGTATATTTTACCTTAACTGTGACTGAATGAATATATTCTCGGAAATAAATATGAAAATGTAATATTTTTGCTGGAATGACGTACATATTATAGTGGGAAGTGGGATAAAATCATGACGAAAGACTTTCGCTTTCTTTCGTTGTTCAAAATATTTTACCATAATCGCTTTTCGAATGGTTTTCAGTTAAAAAACTGTTGTACTCGTACTGTATTACAATAATATTCTATCCTATCATTAGCCTTATAATCCCACAACTGAAAACCATTCGAAAAGCGATTACGGTAACATCTTTTGAACGAAAGAAAGCGAAAGTCATTGCTTTCGTCACTTTCCACTGTAATACGTACATCATTTCAGCAAAAATATTACATTTCCATGTTCTCAGAAATAAATGGTAGTTTTGTTGAAACGTAATGTACAGTATTTAACATTAAAATGCAAAAATAGCTATAAAACAATTAATACACCCGTAATGTACTGGCTGGCATCTCCACTCGTCCCTGCTCCCGCCAGTCACCTCCTCCCCGCTCTATCCCTCCGCCTCCTCCACATCGTCACTACTGTTGTATTACAATAATATTCTATCCTAATTGACTTGAATAAATACTACGATACCATATTTCTGAATATTTTCATTAAAATCCATCCAAATCATTTTCCTTGCCATCGGCAGCACCAAACAGCTTCTCCCAGTCCTCTCCTTGAACAGGGCTAGAGGGTACGTTCTTTCGAATCGTTTTCAATTAAAAAAATGTTACATCACACTTATATTTTACCTAAACTGCGCCTGAATGAATATATTCCTGGAAATAAATAGTAATTTTGCTGAAACGTGATGTATTTCAATGTAAAATAGGATAAAATACATGACGAAAACAAAAGACTTCACCTAACCTTCCAATGTTCAAGAGATGTTACTCGTTTTTTTAATAGTTTTCGGTTAAAATACTGTTATATTACAATGATATTATATTCATACTGTGCTTGATATACTACATTCACAGAAATGAAATATTTTTGCTGAAATGACGTAAGTATTACAGTGGAATGTGGGACAAAATCGTGACGAAAACAACGACTTTCGCTTTCTTTCATTCAAAAGATGTTACCGTAATCGCTTTTCGAATGGTTTTCATTTAAAAAACTGTTGCATCACAAGTGAATTAGGATAGAATATTATTGTAATACAACAGCTTTTTAACTGAAAACCATTCGAAAAGCGATTACGGTAACATCTTTTGAGCGAAAGAGAGCGAGTCATTGCTTTCGTCACTTTCCACTGTAATACGTACGTCATTTCAGCAAAATATTACATTTCCATATTCTCAGAAATAAATAGTACTTTTGCTGAAACGTGATGTATTTCAATGTAAATTAGGATAAAATACATGACGAAAACAAGAGACTTTACCTAACCTTCCGATGTTCAAGAGATGTTACTCGTTTTTTTAGTAGTTTTCGGTTAAAATACTCTTATATTAGTGATATTCTATTCATACTGTGCTTGATATAATACATTCACGGAAATGTAATATTTTTGCAACTACAATGCTGATGTCAACACAAGTGTGGTTACAGCGAGACTGACTGAGTGAGGGAGAGCTATGCGTGTGTGTATGAGGTTGCGGGAGCGGGCGGTGTCCTGTGTTCGGTGCCGCGCGCGAGTTGAATGGCGCGCGATATGAATGTACTTCAATTACTTCAATGTACAGAATATTCCTCTGGCGGGGCAATCCGCGTATTTGCGAATCCGTGAATGCTAAACCCGCGTATGTGAAGGGCCGACTGTATTTGATAGTCATCACGGTTTACATTATTTTGTACAAACAGAAGTATTCATGATAAATCCTGTTCCTAGGTCTTACCTTCCATTTTCTTTACAGGTATTTAAGAATTCTTGAGATTTTGTCTGCAAACAAGTACCTGGGTCCACTTGTGATGATGATGGGAAAAATGATTAAGAACATGGCATATTTTGTGGTGTTGCTCTTGGTTGTGCTGATGGCGTTTGGTGTGTGCCGCCAGAGTATCCTTTTCCCTAATGAAGAGCCACACTGGAGACTTGCTAGACACATATTTTACCAGGTATGAAGAACAGAAAACCTAGTATGTAGGAAGAGTTTTTAATTTTAATTCTTTTGTCTCTATTTCTTGCTCCACCACTTTTTCATTTTATAACAAGTCCACTGCTTTATGGGGCATCAGAGTGACTGGCTTAATGGGCATAGGAGCAAGGCTTATGTAGTCAGTGGTCGTGATGTTGAAGATGATTACAAGTACTGTAGTTAAATAAAATCCAAAAAGGGCTGAAATTTAAGAGCCTCGTGGATCAGATACTCATCGTGATATTCATCGTTGAGAAAATAACTGAAAACAAATTTGATGTTTATAATGTATGTGCGATTGAAAAGAAATATGCAATAATTATGGCAAAAATGATTTGAGGAAAGAATTAAAGTTTTAAGGCAGTGGAGGAGTGGGTAAGAAACCTGCTGGGGGAGCCGAAGCTATCTGCAAAAAGAGTAGATGAAAGGACGATTGAAAGTGAAATCAGTCAGAGAACAATACATGACAGGAAAGGGATTGTAGAGCTAAGAAGTATTATTATGAAAATATGAAAAGAATATAACCTTGGAGGTGAAGAAGGAACCGAGAGACAGCATATCCTACCATGACCTACAACAGAATGAGTTACCCTAGGACTTCATCTGGGATAACCACAATGGGAGGGATAAGAAATAGTGAAGTATATGAGGTATGTATAATGGCAGAGTGTGTAAACTGTGGATGATATGGACGTGTGAAAAGGATGCTGGAGGAAAGGATAATAGTGTATTTTATAGAGGGAGAACATTTACATTGTGGGAGGGAAAGGCAGAACAATGCATCAGGGAGAGGATTGGGGGAATAGAGAGGGCAAAAGAGATACAGGTATCCCCTCTATTTACAATATTCTGCATTAATGAAAATTAGATTTTAACACATTCGATTGATTTACGTTAGGAAAAATCCACATTTACGATAGTGTTCAAGATTTGAACAATTTAGTGAGCACAAGGTAAGCCAAATTTGAACAAATTTCAAATTGTATACATCAAAAGATAAAAAAAATTATTACGGTAAACACAGTTACAGCCTCCACACACACACTCACTTACCACACCCATGCTCTTCATTTTCTTATTTTATAGTTTTATATTATATTTTCTTTATTTCTAAGCCACTTCATTTATGTAGAGTCGAATAAGTGTGAAAGAAGTCCGTTTCTCAGAAAAAGGTTACATTTTCACGAGAGTTTAAATTTAAAAACAATTTTGTTTTTATTTTTTCTCAAATGAACATGGACAAGTGAAAAACACAGTAATTGGGTAACGCTCATGAAAATGCACAGATTTGTGGAAAAATGGACTTTTGAGACATAATTTAGGTTATTCTAGTTTATATTTGGGTTTTCAGGAACACAACACTATTGTAAATAGGGGGATACCTGTACAGTATATAATAATAGGATGATATGGAGGCTGGTTGTGGCCACCCCTTGACAGAGCAACTTCCTGGATGAGTGATTTTGAATACAGTACTTGATACACTTCATTATCTCCAGGAATGAAAGTAGACACAATATAATTGTAACAGTGAAGTTAATTTTGCTGCTATACTGATCAATGACTGATACTTTCTCTCTTTACAGCCATATTTCATGTTGTATGGTGAAGTGTTTGCTGGAGACATTGATCCTGACTGCGGTGGAGAAGGCGAAATTCCCTGTCATCCAGGACGCTGGATCACTCCAACAGTTATGTCCATGTATCTCTTAGTTGCCAACATTCTTCTCATCAATCTTCTAATTGCTGTATTTAACAACATCTTCACATCAGTCAACGCCATCTCACGCCAAGTGTGGATGTTTCAGAGATTTCAGGTGAGTGACCAGGTACTCATTGATGTATGCAGTCATCCAGTATCTCAGTGTGACTTACACATTTCATAAAGCAAATTTTTATTGTGGAATATTAAATAATATAATCTTTTCTTTTTATTGGTGGTGCTACAACTCTCTACAGGTTGTAATGGAATTTGAAGGAAAACCTGTGTTTCCTCCTCCGCTCATCATTCTGTCACACATCCACCGAGTCATAAAGTACTGCTTCAGAAGATGGAAGGGGAAGCCCTTTTTGTACGACAATGGTTTAAAAATATTCCTGGATGGTGAGAGCCTAGAACGTCTTCATGACTTTGAGGAGGAGTGCATGGATGGCTACAACAGGGACAAGGACCAGAAGGAACAGATGAGTACAGAGGTATGTTGTCCAATATCTTTTACATTATCTTTCTGAGTTTATCAGATGCCAGGTAAGAAGGATAGTGCTACTGTCTCTGCACCCTAGTAACATTATTAACAGATATCCATCGCTGTAAAAGTTGTATGGGATATTGAGGGTGCACCTAATTCTCACCCATGTGACCTAGATTCAGTTCCTTCTTCGAGTGAATATGAGGAGTTGTTCAGTCTGATCCTAGTAAACATAGAAAGCGTTCTTCAAGTACTGTAGACTCTCAACTTACGTGAGGGTTACGTTCCTGGGACCTCGCATAAAGCCCCAAAAATGCTTAAAGTCAAAACACTCCTAAATCGCCCTTAAATCACTATACAGTAGTCCCTCGGTTAACGAAATTTTGGTTAACGAATTACCTTCCATAAGAATCTTCAATTTGGTTAACGAAAAAAAATTGATTAACGAAATCCTTACGAAAATCACATTTTGTTTTGAACATCAGCTGATAAGCGGAGGAGGTACTCAGCCACTTCAGTGATCTCTTCTATGTTTACATTCAAACTAATCACTATCTTATAAGAATACCAGCAATGCAAATTAAATTCACCCCAGTCACTTCTATTAAATTTTATAAGCAAAAAACAAAAACTCAATCTAAATGACATAAATTAACAATTAAATACTTCACACCACAGGTGCCAACTGTCAAACACTTCATTGTCAACCCTCCCTCCCCCCCTCCCCCCCCACCCCCCACCTTCCTGAGAAATGTTTGGGGAAAAAGACTAGGTTTACAGGTTTAAAAATAAATAATACCTCAGACTAAAGTTAGGATAATATAATTTGCATTGCTGAAATCCTTGCAAGACAGGGAATAATTTGAATATAAACGTCATATATTTTGCACAAAAGATAAAATTTTTGCTCTCCCTAATAAAATTCTTAAATTAGATCTAAAATTTGTATGTCTAATGCAAATTTTAGCTTGTTTATATTCAAATTAATACTATCTTATAAGAATTCCAGCAACGTAAATTATATTCTGGCTTTACTTTGTATATACTTTTCTGTGAGCTGGAACCAATTACTCAATATCCCATTGAAACAATGGTTTCGGTTAATGAAATTTTCGGTTAACGAATGACCTTCTGGAACGAATTGTGTTCGTTAACCGAGGGACCACTGTATATATATATATATATACAGTACGTACATATACACTAGAACTCATAAATCACTACAGTGATCCTTCGGTTAACGAACGCCTCGTTTAACGAAATTTCGGTTAACTAATTACCTTCCATAAGAATCTTCAATTCGGTTAACGAAAAAAATTTGGTTAACGAATTCCTTACAAATTTTTCTCAACATGTTTTCGCTTGCTCACCAGCTGGAATATTAGTCCGCCAGTACATTAATCGGTTCTAGGGCTTAAATTCGTTCCCATTTGAGCAAATATCAAGAAGGTTGTACTATTCAATAATTTTAAAAGTTTTATATTAAATTTTTTAGTCATTTTAACAATTATTGAACATAATTGAAGTACAGGAAACTAGTTTTTAGCACACCAAACAGCCACTTGACTCACCCAGCAGCCATCAGTTTGTCTCTCTTGCTTGAAACTCTTGAACATAAACTATTTTTACATTTTTACAGTACAATTATTGGTCATTCTGAAGTTTATTTTACATATTGACAATATATAGAGCAGTGCAGTGTTGATTTAAAGAAAATAATCTTGAATTACACCAAGTGAACTAAAATTTTATGGGTGAAATGGCAGCATGAAGCATGGGGTGATTTCTCTTCCACCCCCACTTCCTTCTCTTCTCCCTTCTCCTCCACCCCCACTTCTATATCCAATCATCATCAACCAGGAGCCTTCTACATGCACATCTCAAAGTAATTGTACTTTACTGAATTTATTTTTAGTTTGTATGTAATTTTCGGTGAGCTGGAACCAATTACCCAAAATCCCACTGAAACAATGGTTTCGGTTAACAAAATTTTCGGTTAACGAATGACCTTCTGGAACGAATTGTGTTTGTTAACCGAGGAACCACTGTGTTGTAATGTGATACAGGTGATTAATTTTTATCTCTTGTGCAAAATACATGACGTTTATATTCAAATTATTCACTGTCTTGCAAGGATTCCAGCAATGCAAATTATCTTCTGACTTTAATCTGTGATATTATATAAGATAAAAACTTTAAGCCTAAAACCACCAAACCCTGGCTGAGAGGATGGGGAGACGGAGCCGGGAGGTTGGGGGAGACGGAGCCGGGAGGTTGGGGGAGACGGAGCCGGGAGGTTGGGGGAGACGGAGCCGGGAGGTTGGGGGAGACGGAGCCGGGAGGTTGGGGGAGGCGGAAGGGAGGGGACGTGAGGTGTTTTGACAGCCAGCGCCAAGGGTTACCCAGTGCGTAATTATTTATCTGTCATATAGAGGAGTTTAAGTTTTTCTCTTATAAAATGTCACTGAACTGACTTGGGAAAATATAATGTACATTGCTGGGATTCTTATAAGATAGTGATTAATTTGAATATAAACGTACTATAGTTTGCACAAGACAAAAATTTTAGTAATCATTTAGTACATTATTTTGAGTACATGTACAGTACATCTTTGCCCTTAGGACAGTGTGTGCACGTAAATGTGTAAAAAAATAGAAGAAATTTATCTAGACGGTTTGTCCCTCATAATGATCTTCAAGAGTAAAGTGCTTCCCCATCTGGTCCCCGAGATATGCTAGGGACTGTCAGTTGGTTGAAAATGTTCAAAGAAGGGCCACCAGACTGGTGCCTGCACTTCGGCACCTCAACTGCCCTGAGAGATTGGAGCGCTTGAACTTACCTAGCTTATACTACAGATGGGCAAGGGGCAACCTAATTGAGGTGTACTGTATGAGCATATCAAGGGGCATTACTCATCCGAGTAGCTGGCAGACGCTCACCCCACAAGGGGTCACAGCTCAAGATTGAAGAAGCCACAAGTCCAGAATACTGTGAGGGCAAACTTTTTCGGAGTGAGAGTTATGAACTCTTGGAACAATCTACCAGAAAGTGTTGAGACGGCACCAAGTGTGAGCTCTTTCAAGGCCAGACTTGATCAACACTGGAGCAGGTTCAGGGACAGTAATCCCTTGTTTTTCGCAAGTACGTTCCTGAAACCCCCGCGAAAAGCCAAAACCGTGACTACTCCTTAAGGAATCTCTGTACCTGTGGCCACCAAACAGCTCAGATAGGTCATGCACTTAACCACGCAATGCTCTCCACTCAGGGCCCAGTGGTCACACTGATCACTGATGCACTGTACCGGCATTTACTAACATCATTATTTGAAACTAATCATATTGTAGTGTAATACTGGAAAAATGTAAATACAGTTATATACAAGAAATATATATTTACAAGTAAATACAAATTTTTATATTTCGCTGAGGTCGGCAACACCCCCATTGCCAGCCTCTCCCTGCTGCCCCGGCGTCTGCCCGCCCTCACGCAGTCACGCCAGCCAGCCAGCCAGCCAGTCCTCTTCCACTCACATTCCTCCACTTGAAGACTTGTACAGGTGCTCCTCTACTTAAGAACGTTCAACTTACAAATTTTCAGAGATACAAACATCATCACTGAGGGGGGTTACCTGCCAGAACAGGTGTTTAATGTGGATGAGACCGGATTATTTTGAAACCAATTCCAGATAGAACAAACATTACCTGAGAGGAGAAGATTGAGCCAGGTTTTAAGGCTGTATTAAAGGTTACAGTGATCCCTCGGTTAACAAAATTTCGGTTAACGAATTACCTTCCATAAGATTCTTAACTTCGGTTAACGAGCATTCCCTCGATTAACGAATTCCTTACGAGCGCCCCTCAACATGTTTTTACTTGCACACTAGCTGTCGTATTAGTCCGCTAATACAGTAATCGGTTCTAGGGCTTAAATTCCTTACTATTTTAGTAAATATCAAGAAGTTTGTACTTTTCAATAATTTTAAAAGTCTTATATTAAAATTTTTAGTCATTTTAACAATTATTTAGCATAATTTAAGTACAGGGAAACTAGTTTTTAGCGCGCCAAACAGCCTGTCAACACACCATACAGGCGTCAGTCTCTGTGTCTTTTCAGTGGAGGTAACATCTTGCTTCAGACTCTATTCAACATAAACGATTTTTTCTGTGTTTCCAGTCAAATTATTGGTCATTTTGAAATTTATTTTACATATTGATGATATATAGTGCAGTGCAGTGTTGATTTAAAGAAAATATTCTTTATTTACAGCAATTAAACTTAAAATATCACGTGTTGAAATTGTTTTTGTTTCCACCATGGGTCCCAAGAAATCAAGAAAAGCGATTTCAATCCAGGTGAAACAGGAAATTATTAAGAAACATGAAGAAGACATTAGAACAAATGTGCTTAGCAAAGAATATGGCATGTCGACATCAACTGTGTTAACAATTCTTTCACAGAAAGACAAATTCAAGGAAGTGAAAGTGAGAGACAAATCTACCAGAGTGTTCAAAGTTAGATCCCTAATAGCAGAAACGGTGAGGTTACTTCTCATTTGGATTAGGGAAAAACAGATGAAAGGTGTTTCAGTTTCTACTGAATTTATTTGTCAAAGAGCCAGGGAAATATACGAAGATTTAAAGGTAGATCAACCTGGTTCTTCAGGCACAGACTTTGAAGAGTTTAGGGCCAGCAAGGGCTGGTTCGAAAAATTTAAGAAAAGAAGTGATATTTTTAGTGTTTTTAGGCATGGTGAGGCTGCCAGTGAAGATAAGGAAGGGGCAGCAAAATTTTTAGTAGAATTTAAAGAACTGGTGGATACAGAAAATTATCTTCCACAGGAAGTGTTCAATGTGTACGAAACTGGGCTGTTCTGGAAATAGATGCCCAAAAGGACATTCATCACCAGAGATGAAGCATCTTTACCTGTGCATAAACCCATGAAAGACCGTCTCACTCTATTGCTTGGTGCCAATGCTTCAGGGGATTTTCGACTGAAGCCTATGCTG